AGCCCGGCCCAATGACCCAATCCCAAAATCAAAATGAATTTTGAGCTGGTTAGCTGGTTAACAGCGGAACGAGCTTCTTGATAAACCAATTTCTCTAAAACCATCAACCCAACCCAAACCCGGCCCTACAACCCCATCCAACATCAAAAAACAAAAAGCCACCAGCCCCTGCCCAGCCCCCACCAGGTTCCCACTTTGGCCTACCCACCCAGCCCCAGCCCCCAGCCCCAGCCCCACCCACAGCCCCACCCACAGCCCCAGCCGAAGTAGTAGTACTAGTAGTAGTAGTAGTAGTAGTAGCAGCAGTAGTAGTAGTAGTAGTGGTAGTAGTAGTAGTGGTAGTTTTAGTAGCAGTAGTAGCAGTAGTAGTAGTAGTAGTAGTACTAGTAGTAGTACTAGTTGTAGGCAAAACCACTCAGACGCACCCACCCAGGCACACGAACTTTCTCTCTCCCCCCCCTCTCTCTCTCTCTCTCTCTCTCTCTCTCTCTCTCTCTCTCTCTCTCTCTCCTGGGCATGAGGGCGGGTCAACGCCCTCGGGCCAGTGGCCCCCCCGTCGTGTTGACAGGTGTGAGGGGTGACGAACGAATGATCATCACAGTTCAGGCTAAAGCCATATAGTGTACGATGACGACAACTGTGACCTATCATTCTCATCAACACGTGCAAGATCATGTCCTCTTCCCCCGCAGTACTGAGCTAAACATAAACATAGCCATCCAGAAAATTTACAGAGGGCATGATGCAGCGGATCCCCCCATTACGAGACGTGATTCAGTTCGCTCACTGCACAATCGGTACTGAACATTTGACAAAGAACGACAACCTAAAATGGAGTAGACCAGTTCCCCCGACCTAGTTCAGACACCGATACTGCATGTGAGGTTTAAGGAGGAGTGTTCCCCCCTGAACATTCGTGTAGCACACGCAAAAGTCAATTAGTCTAGGTCAAAAGGATGAACAAGGCCTCTATTTGTGTTCAGGGTACAGCTCTTTGCATCAAAGTGTGGGGAAGCTTTGTCGTGTAAAGCAATGACACAGCGCTCACTAACGACCTAAGGGCCTAAGCATATGTAAAGGCGTTGCAAGTTCCCCCACTTTGTTTGCAATGCGTGCATACATGACAGTTTCTTTGTCTTCACAGGTTTTTTAGAAATGCAAGTTAAGCTCATATGAGGATGTGTGAACCCCAATCTGGCCTGCTCCCGGGTCTGTGAAGATTCTCTGAAAGATCTACTCTAGCATGGCAGTATGTGTGTGAGCATCGGGGGATGCCAGGTTTTGCAGAAACAAGGACACAGCTCTCGCTAAAGACCAACAGGCCTAGCATGTGTAGTGCAAGAACGGTCGTTCCCCCGATGTCACTTCCGCTCTCTCTCTCTCTCTCTCTCTCTCTCTCCCTCTCTCTCTCTCTCCCTCTCACTCTCTCTCTCTCTCTCTCTCTCTCTCTCTCTCTCCCTGCGTCTCTTGCATGTGTGATTCCATATAGCAGCAACATAGGGACCACAGTCTGTTACCGAGAGAGGAGGAGGCTGCACGCTGAAGAACACACCATGATTTCCATCCTGGGGCGTGGAACTATTACCGGTAACGCCTTCAGTTTCCCCAGACACGAAGGCCAGGGCCATTCCACCCAGTACAACCCCGTCCAACCTCGCCCACCATAGGACGATGTTTGATTGACCAGCCCATGCCCGCTCGACTTTCCGACGCTTGTTCCGGAGCTACTTGAAGAATTCGCATGTGCAGGTGTTGCGGTCCCATGCTTGCCCATAGATAGTCTGACACAGTCATGCTCTGGAACATACTCCGACATATACACTCGAATCAATTCCAGAATATCATAATATATGTGATGGGAACCATTACTGACATCGCACAGTATAGCAGGATTCTCATGGACTTCATACTTACACGAACTGCGTACATTAAACACACCCATGATGTGAGGGCGTCAGGGCAGGGCACTGTGCAGCAGGGTGTGCCATGAGCCCTGCTGGTTCGTCGTCCGGAGTGAGTTGACGGCGCTCCGGAAGACTGCTCCATCCACCCATCAGCAACACGGAGCTGCACACAGGTTATCCGAGAACCAGCCGCCAGTCCTCAGACCACTGCGTCGACTTCTTCTTCAATCGGCGCTCCAGGCGATGCTGAAGAAGCGCAGCGATTTCGCGCAGCGGCGTGCGCGGGCGCACCCTGGCAAACTCAGCGATGCGATCGGGGAACACAACCGAAGCTGTCCGGGACTATTCCGTCCTGGCTTCGTGAGGTTGCTCCGGACTCTCGTCCAGCAAGGCCCGCAGAGCCCGGCCTGACTTACGAGCAGACCGCAGACTCAAAACGCCGCGATTCGCAGCTGAAATCCATGCCTGCTTCCTGTCCCAGGACGATCCGGTTCTGCGGCATCCAGATCCTTCCGATCGTGGAGACATTCTCCATGGCGCGCTCAAGGTCCTTCGCCTGGTTCGCTGCATGTGGCTATCCGGCAGATTGGGTTGAGATCTCCAATAGTTCACGGTCGTCGAGTCACACCACCGTGACTACAACACCAAACTCATGAGATGTATCAGATCGGAAAGACGCTGATGTGTGCCCACAGCAAGTCCGGCCTGCAGGCTTCCAGCTCAGGCACCACTTTTGCTGATGCCATTGGCCTTGGCAAATGTCCGGACCTTCCTCTTCATCGCCAGGGTTTCGATTTTCTTGGGAGCGTTCATGGCCTCGGCTCGATGTATGTTGCCACGACGCTCGTAGCACGCTAATTGCGGAACCCACCCTTCGCATGCAGTGGCTCGAACACCCGCCATCCACACCCCACCGACCCCCGCTCCCAACCGGCCACGGGCGACTTCGCCCGTCACCGACTCCAGGCAACCGCATCACAGCCGAGTTACGTTGTGAGCCATGAAGTTCGCCTCGATGGCACGACGAAAACATTCACCGGGATCTCCGCCTGTCCATGCCATGGGGCACCGGAACACCGAACCGAACATACCGCTCGCGCCCCAACAGATTCTCTGGAAACGCCCGTCAACCAGCACACGGAGACAACAGCCTCGACTGGCCGCTGGGAGCATTGCTCGGCCCGTCACTGCCGCCTGATTCCAATGCCTTCGTTACGAAGCGCTCAGAAGTGACGGCCGCCGCCCGGGTCCGGTGACGTGAACAGTGTCTTGGGCTTCGGGAAGGTTGCCAGCAAGTCCTGCTCGATTCGTTTAACGGCCACCCTCCCGACGTCCGCCCCGGCTCCTTGGCAGAAGACAGAATGGACTTGCCAGTATGTCTTTCCTGCTATTGGACTTTGTGCCCAGGCTGCCGTTGGCCCAGCTCTTCGGCGGCACAGAGTATGGCGGAGCCCGGCCAGCCCAGCCTAGTCCACTCAGCAATGGCGTTGCAAACCCACAGTCTCCCAGGCCCAGCCTAGCAAGCCAGAGCCAGCCCAACCCAGGCCGATCAGCAACTTAGCCCAGCCCAAAGCCCCTAGACCCGCCTAGCCAAGCAGAGTGAAAATCTTCGCTCGGGGCCTTTCGCTCTCAAAGCCCGGCCTCGTAGCCCAGCCCACCCAGCCCCCCCAGCCTCCCAGCCCGCCCAGAATCAAAATGAAGAAGCAAATAACAAAACGTTTCAGTCTAAACTTTCGCTCAAAACTCTGGAACCAATTTCTAGCGCCAGCCTGCATGCCCAGGCACTAGCCCAGCCACTATCAAAAGGACCCAAGAGCAGGACTTTCGGTCAACTCACCTAAAACGGAACCCAAACCGCCAACCCCAGCCCCAGCTGCAGCGCCGGCTCCAGCCAGCGCCAACCCCAGCCCAGCCCACTCCCAGAATCAAAACACCAAGGCAAAAAACGAAACCGCTCAAAACTTTCGGTCAAAACGTTTCGGTCAGAATCAAAACACCAAAGCAAAAAACGAAACCGCTCAAAACTTTCGGTCAAAACGTTTCGGTCAAAACCCCGGACCCAAACCCTATACAACTTCTATAAACCCTAACCCTAAACCCTAAACCCTAAATGCTTTCGCGTTTGGGGCTATGACCCAGTCAAAGTACCCGGGATACTCAGAGCCGATCTCGAGGCTCCAACCTGCCTTCATCCTCAAGTCACCGTCTTTGGCGGAAGCATTCTTCACATCTCCCTAAACTTAAAAGGGAAGTCTTGGGAGTTTCCCAAAATAGGGGACCCTAATATAGTTCCCTAAATAGTAGGATCCTTATTAGGACCCCCAAAATAATAAGGTACCCCTAATTATCGGAAACTCAAAAGTCGGAACTGGATGCTTGCGGGGCAAGCCTGGCAGCTGAAAAAAAGGCAGGGACATTCGGGGGCCCTGATCCCAGCTGCCAGGGGGAAAAGCAAGCATCCTTCAAAGAAATGAGAGGGTTGATCCTCGATCGAAATTCTTGTTCCGAGGCCTTAAACCCGATCGGGTTTGGGGTTTAAGGGTTCAGGGAACCGCACTGTAGCATAGTAGCCCCTACAGTGTTCCAAGTCCTCGACGTTCGATCGAGATCGACCTTGCTCAAGCCGCCCGGTTTCGCGCACCAGCGCGTGTCTCGGGCCCACACCAGCTTTGAATGCTACTGTAGAGGCCTTGGTGATTAGAGGAGAGTTTCGGGGTTCTCTACTATAAGAACACGGGCCCGTAGCGAATAGCACTACGAAGTATCCCGTCTTCTGTATTCTGTGAAGCAAGGCCTCGAACCATATCGGCCTCTACAGGAATGAGGCAAGATCCTGGGTGTAGATCAGGCCTCAAGATGAAAATCGAGCCCCGTTTGGGGTGTGAACAGGTACGAGAAAGATTGTGCCGTCCTGAGTAGGACCGGGTCGCGCTTGCAACCCCAAGATCGCATAAATATCCACTGCTTAGCCTGCACAGCAGGCCTGCAATTTTAGCCGGAGAGTTCAACACTTCTGGCGTATGATAAGGATCTCTGTACAGTGCAAGGCAGATTCCTTAAGCAAGACTAGTGTTCACTCTCTGGGGAAGAAGCCGTTTACGTGCTTATCCAGACCTTGTGTAGATGCTCCTTGACAAGTGCCTCACAAGCAGTCGGTTGCCCGGAAAGCGCTGCAGTGATGAACTCCTTAGAGTTCCCTAAACCATAAACACCGCCACCTAAACCCTACATGCTGAACCCGAACTGTGTGAATCATACCCACATACAAACTAGGCAAAGAAACAAAAATGAAGGCATGCATGTATGTATGTATGTAGGTACGCAATGTATGTATGCATACATGCCTGCAGTATGTGCGTGTGTGTATGTATGTATATGTCTATGTACGCACATACACACACAGAGACAGACAGACAGACGGACGGACGGACGGACGGACATACGGACATACGGATAGACGGACAGACAGACAGACGGACAGACAGACAGAGGGACACAGAGACAGAGAGACAGAAAAACAGACGAAAAAGACGGACAGAGAGACAGAGAGACAGATAGATAGACAGAAAGACAGATAGACAGATAGACAGATGGACAGATAGACCGATAGACAGATAGACAGATAGACAGATAAACAGATAAACAGATAGACAGATAGACAGATAGACAGATAGACAGACAGACGTGACATATCTATATACATGGTCTGACGCTTGAAACTCGATCCAAAGAATCTGGTGCTGAGGTCTCTTTGGCGAGATCGAGTGCAGTGTAACCTGGGGAAAGACAGTGTTTATGAGTCTGGGGTTTAGGCCAGGGCCTCGGATTCAGGGTTCTTCAAAAGTTCTGTCTAGAAATGATGATTGTACAGGGTTCTTGTGTGACTGTGAGCGTTGTAAGCTTTGGCAGATTAAAGGTTTCCGGGGAACCATCGGAAGCCAGAAGAGGCGTTTAAGATAATGTAGGCGCCTTAATAATTAGAATGGGGTTTGGGGCCCCTTATTCTATAATTATAATAGGGACCCCCACAATAATATCGGTAATCATTTAGGCCCCTAGTGTCTACCCTAAAAGGGACCCTAATTGGGGTTATGGTACTTGTAAGTCCTTATAACCAGTTACTAAGTCCCCCGACCCTCCAAGTAGTAGGTGAGTCTGGGACTCAGGGACCAGATCTCTAGTCATCGGCACCCTTATTTCTTATGACAGCCCCAATTGCAAAACAATATTAGATATATTAGATGTATTAGATATATTAGATATATTAGATATATTAGATGTATTAGATATATTAGATATATTAGATATATTAGATGTATTAGATATATTAGGTATATAGTGATAGCAAAAAAAGAACTAATGATGCTACCAAACTAAGACAAGCCCATCGGAACCTCGGGAGTTCTCGAGGTCGCAGCGCGCACCGGCGGCGAGGAGAACGGCGGCCGCATCGAAGGAGGAGCTGAGGAGGCTGCACATCAGAGGACCTGAACCCCTAAGCTATAGGAATCAGGGTGGGTTTTCTGGTTCTTAGAGTGCCGTTTGGGGTTTAGGGTTTGGGGTTTTAGGAGCCTAAACCCTAAAGTTATAAGAATCTTTGGGAGGCAGACTCTGGAATCTTATCATCATTTATTTTGTCATTTAGGAGTCATTTGGGAGTCATTTTGTTGTCATTCCGTGTTGTCATTTTGTGGCAAGGCCTGCTTGACAAATGTCATTTGTGTGGCATTTCCTTGTCGTTTGTTTGTTGTTGCTTTTGCTTCGTCGATGTCCTCGTTCCCGTGGGTCCTTCCTTTCCCGTGCATTCTACGCACGCATCAGCAGCATCATGGTCACCATTGGTGTTTCCGTTCCCGTGGCGTGCAGTTGTGCCAGTGGCCTTTAGCATCGGCGTCTTCAGCAAGGACCATGTGTAGCTGAAGAACCTCAAACGAAAGCACTACGTTGCCCACCCAGCCCCTAAAATTCTCCGAAAATTTAGGGGCCTGAGTCGGCGACCCTGGACCCTAAATTTTCGCAAAATTTCGGGGCCTGTCCCCCAATAAGCAGAACTTAGAATTTCTCGATGTGCCTGCCCCCCTAATTGGGTCTGCCCCCGCACCCTCTTCTGGACTCTGGGCCTGCAATAGACAAATTCACAACCCCATGGGACAAATACCTCTCACCCACCCCCACCCAGGGCAGCAGCGACTTCCAGAGACGACGGCAGAATGACTCCTCCAATGACACCTGTCACCGGGAATGACAAAAAAATGACTCCGAAATGACAAAAAAATGACTGCAAAATGACAAACCAAAATGACAAAAAAATGACTTCAAAATGACAAAAAAATGACAAAACCCTAGGGTTTTGTCATTTTTTGCCATTTTGGAGTGATTCCACCCTGGCCCCGCCAAAAATGACTCCAAAATGACAAAAAAATGACAAAACCCTAGGGTTTTGTCATTTTTTAGTCATTTTGGAGTGATCCACCCTGGCCCCGCCCCCGCCTGCGGAAATGACAAAAAAATGACAGCCCCCCTCCAGACCTCACAATAAAACGACAGTTTGACGGCCACGGCCGACCCACTAGGCAACAGCAGCCCGAGCAACCCGACCCCCAGCCACTTTGTCGGGACGGCCTGGAAGGCGGCAGCCTTCAAACACGTAGCTTGAGAGACAGAATATCTGGAACCCTGCAACACTCTTTCACCCGCCAGGAGGTGGCTATTAAGCGTGGCCTAGGGAGAACTGGGGCAATCCAAAGGACAGCACGGAGGATCAAAACCCAAGGTAGTGCGTCGCGTATACAAAGCGTATGACCGTCCTGGGCCCTCTGCCCTACATTCTTACACAGTGTGCGAAATCTCAAGCTTTCTGAGCAACATCCATGTTTTCGGAAGTCCCTAGCTACAACTACGAGCTACTCAGGGCCCCAGACCTGTGACTGCACATGAGAATACTACAAAAGTACACAACAAGTTATCCCCAAACCCTCAAACACAAGCACCACGAGATGACAACAAAACGACAAAAAAACGACCCAGAAATGACAACCTAAATGACAATTGGAAAATGCCATCACAAACAAAACGACAAACGCCAATGACAAAAAAACGACAATATAATGACCCAAATAATTCCCGGACCACACCTCAGACGTGCCATACAAGATTCTTATAACCCTAAAGCCCCCGAAGGCATCAGAGGACCTGAGAAAAAAAGTTTTGGTGGTTTTGTTGGCGGCTTTAAGCCGTTCGCGGTTAAGGTCAGGGTTCAGGATTTGGGGTCACGGTTTCGCGAATTGTGTTTTTGGGCAGAGTGCATGGGATTTCTGGAGGAGTTTATGGCTTTTGGTGGGTATTGCAGGGGGTGCGGCGGTGTTGTGGGCTTTGAGGGCTAAGGAGGCTTGGGGCTTTTAAGTTTAGGTGTAATCTACTGGGAAAAGTAAGAAGTCTTTCGGGAGTCTCTATCAAGATCACGTGGTCAGCCCTACATGTGTTTCTCTCGTCGAACTTATGCTTTCGTGGCTCCGCGGATTTGGCTTCCAGGCGATTGTTCGGGCTTTTACCGGCAACTAGTGTTCTCAATTTTAGAGTTCAGGGGGCTCAATATTGGGTGTCATAACGGAGGTTCTGGGTTGGGTTGTCGATGTACACGGCTTTCAGACTTTGCCGTCTCAGACCGTGTGATTTTTCTAATTTATAGGGCTTGGGGTTAACCCTACGGCCCTAGCGCTAAACCCGAAGTTGAAAAAATCTCGAAATCAGAGTCGAGTTTCCTATTTTGTAGTTCAGCAGGTAGGGTGTGGGAAAGGGACGACAGCGGCCCCTTTGGTAGTTTCGGATTCAAACTCCAACTTGTGACGACAACTACTACGGGAAGGCCGGTGCTTCTGTTCTTCCCCTAAAGGGCTTAGGGTTTAGGGTTTAGGGCCTAAGCCCAAAGCCCTCAATGCCCTCAACGCTAGACCCTGAAAATCCTAAACCCAAAACCCTGAATGCTACACCCCAACACCCTGCACCTTCAACTCTAGGCCACGGGGATGATAGCAAGAAGTGAGAGCCCTCGATGCTCGAAGCCTTCCCTCAAGCTCAGCCCAAAAAGGCGCTCGGAAAAATCCTAAACTCCTAAACTCCTAAACCCTGAAACCCTAAACCCTAAACCCTGAAACCTTAAACCCCAAACCCTGAAACCCTGAAACCCTAAACCCTGAAACCCTAAACCCTTGAAGAACCCGCTCAAACCTAGCCCAGGGGCTCGCTCGGTGGTGATGGTACGCATAGGCGCTGAGATGCGTTCGGCAGAAGAGGTGGCGGAGGCTCAGATATGCGAAGATCACCCCGAATGGGCCTCACACTTGGGATTCAGGGTGGAGGATCCTGGAAATAAAGAATTTCCCTTGAATCAAAATATGCATCCTTCGCTAACCAGTGGTTTTGGGGGTTCCGTTGGCTCTTTAGCTCCCTATTTAATAGGGATCTGGCTCCTTAGCTCCCCCAATATCAATGGTTAGGTAGGGGTTAGGCTACTTTTAGTCTACTATGCCCGAGACGCCAGGCATGCCCACTCTGATGATGAAAAGGTCTCCCCCCCGCTCGAAACTCTAAGCGCCTAAGTTCGAAAAGCACCTACGTAAGTCCTGGAAAACACGTGATAGTCATATTTGCACAAAAAAACTCTGCAAACCTGTGAGAAGAGCAAACACAAAACTGAGCTCTTCTGCAAAACCCCCCTGCACGCTAAACCCCAAATCCCCCAACTCCTATACCCTAAACCATAAACCCCAAATCCTCTCAACCCGACACCCTAAACCCTACACTCTCAACCCCAAACCCTAAATACTAAACCCTAAACCCTAAACCCGAAACCCCAAATACTAAACCCTAAACCCTAAACCCTAAATGGCCCAGAGGCTGAGAAGAGGGACGGAGAGCTGGCCGTTGACGTCAGCTCCCGCCTTCGTGCTTACGGGCTCCTTTTCCTAGACCCAAGAGTAGCCTAGGAATAAAAAGGGTGCCCTTTTTGGTTTAAAGGGGCTTATAAGGGAACCTGAACCCCCAAAAAAGGGAATAAGGGCCTACTCTAGGTCCTAGTTTCGGAATGTACGTTTAGTTAGGGTTTAGGGGTTTAGGGGTTTAGGGGTTTAGGGGTTTAGGGGTTTAGGGGTTTAGGGGTTTAGGGGTTTAGGGGTTTAGGGGTTTAGGGGTTTAGGGGTTTAGGGGTTTAGGGGTTTAGGGGTTTAGGAGTTTAGGGGCTTAGGGGCTTAGGGGTTTAGGGGCTTAGGGGTTTAGGGGTTTAGGGGTTTAGGGGTTTAGGGTTTAGGGGTTTAGGGGTTTCGGGGTTTAGAGTTTAGGGTTTGGGACAAGGGTTATGGCGCTTTGACTTTGCTAACTTGCATGCAAACCACGCTCCACGCTAAGGTTCGAAACCCCGGATTCCCCCCAGAACACTGAAACCTTTGTCATACTCGGATAGTTAGAATAGGGTTCCGAACGAAACAAAGGACGACATGTGCATCCGAAAGAGAATGTACAGATGCACGTGAAGAGAAGATATCCATTGCTCGCTGCAAATCGATTGCAGAAGCTGAAACATAACCTCGATAGTCATTCTAAGAAGCCCTCTCTCGGGATAGATGACAGTATACTCATAACCAGGAAACCTCCCTTCAAGTTTAATAGAGTATATATGTCTAATTCTCACAACTACCCAGGGGCCCCAAAGTAGTTCCTTTTTTGGGTGTGTCCTCTTTTTTGATCAGGGACTCTAATATACTACCCAAAAAGGAACTACTTTGGGGCCCCTGGGTAGGAACCCTAACAAACATGTCTGTTTTATGGGCTTTCGGACTTCCGACTGGGGGTCTCTCGCAAGAGCGCAGAGTTCAGGGTGACCCGGACATGGGGCTTAGGGTGCTACGGGCTAGGGTTTCCCAGAAAACCCCATACCCCTTAATTAAGGAATATGCCTTAAATTATAGGGGCCTTCATATTATGATTTAAAGTAAATTCCGTAATGAAGGGGTATTGGGATCTCCGGGTTTAGAGACACTCGCCACGCCCTAGACCCTAAATTCTTTGATTCCTGGACCTAGCCCCAAACCGCAGTTAAACCACAAACTTTGCACGCTGAGCAGTGTCTGCTTAAGGGGGTACTGTGAGATTTGGGATTCATTTTTGTTGCTTCAAGAAACATCCCGCAAGTTTCCAGAAACTGCATCTGCCTGGATCAGCTCGGCAACCACCGCCGCCGAGCCGCCGCCCTGCGGAGCTCCGAGAATTGGTTCAACGGGATGTGCGGTTTAGGACTTCCGGTTGTTGCGTGCCGCCCAACCCTCCGTGCACATCTTGCACATCTTTGCGCCTGTCGGCAGAGAAGAAACGCTTTTCGGTGGGAGTTTCAAGGCTTCGGAAGTCTCTCTGAAGCTTTTCGACAAGGTCTTCAAGCTTTGCGGGGCCGGGGTGCGGGTCCTGGGATCTTAAAACCCCGCAGCTCACAGGATCCGGGATTTCAAGTGCAGATCCTACACCCTCCCCCAACCCGTAAACCCTAAACTCTGCCTGAACTCCAAAGCCCAATCCTGAACCCGAAAACCCAAAACCTGAACGCGAATCCCTAACCCTGATCCATAAACTCTCCAACTCTAACTGTGAAGCTCAAGCCAACTCTAACTGTGAAGCTCGGAAGTTTGGATGACAGAAGTCAGGGTTCAGGAGTCATGGAAGGAAAACTGCTAGAAACTCCAGCACCCCCAACATCAGAATCAGATATGGGCAGTTGTCAAAATTTAGGGGGTCCCTTTCGGGTACCCTAAACAATAGGTGCCGGCTTATATTAGGGACCGAACAACAGAAAACCATATTTTTGATAACCATTCATATGATCTTCGTCTCTTGGCTGGAAACGCCTGCCAAGATCACGGCCAAGGCTTCGGTACCAAAATATGGGCGATCCAAGAAAAACTGAACCTTAACTCCCTAGGCCCTACCCTAAGGCCCCGAAGTAGTTACCCTAAGGCCCCGAAGTAGTTCCTTTTTGGGGTTCTACATATCTAGTATCCTATACGGTAATCCCAAAAAGGACCTACTTTGGGGCCTATGGGTAGGCCCTAAACTCCTAAACCCGAAACCCTGAACTCCCCAGACACTGAGCCGGAAAACAGCACCCCGAACTCCACCTGGAAACCTCCCGAGTTTAAAGGGTTCTGTAAGGGTTACTTTAGGGATACTCCACGGGTTCTATGATAGAGGAGCTTTAATAATTAGAGTGGACCATACTGAATTCATATAATCGGAAACCCTATCCAAAGGCTCCATGTACCCATATATGATCCCGGTTCGGCTGGCCCCCCCTCCTCCCCCCCCCAATGGTTCCTCCTCCCCCCCTGTGGTGTGGTGTGGTTGTGGGTTGCTTGCCTCTGCCTGTGGTGTGGTGTGGTGTGGTTCGGGAGTGGGTCTGCTTAGGCTGGTTACCCCACTCCCCCCGGTGGTGTGGTGTGGTTTGGGTTTCCTGCGTGAGTCTGCTGTGGTGTGGCGTGGTTGTGGGTTGCTTCCCCCTCCCTGTGGTGTGGTGTGGTGTGGTTCGGGAGTGGGTCTGCTTAGGCTGGTTACCCCACTCCCCCCTGTGGTGTGGTGTGGTTTGGGTTTCCTGCGTGGGTCTGTTGTGGTGTGGTGTGGTTGTGGGTTGCTTCCCCCTCCCTCCCTGTGGTGTGGTGCGGTGTGGTGTGCTTCGGGAGTGGGTCTGCTTAGGCTGGTGACCCCGCTCCCCCCTGTGGTGTGGTGTGGTTTGGGTTTCCTGAGTGGGTCTGCTTGGCGTGTGAGCCCTCGTGTGGAAAAAGCTTGCACAGTCACACACAGATTCGGCTTGGGGAGGGTGGGGGGGGGGGGGGATGTCGGTGAACCGAGAACCGGGATCATATATGAGGTACTTAGGCCTTAAAAGGGGTCCCTATATAGAAAGGCCTAAGTACCTACTATATGGGTACATGGAGGCTTAGGGCTACAACGAACGTATAACAAATCATTCTACAAAGCCGGTCTCTTGTCGGCAGCTCCAAGTTTGGAGCAAGGACCTTTCAAAACCAGGGTTAAGGGTTTGTGGCTTGAGGTTTAGAGTTTTGGGGTTAGGGTTATGGGTTTGGGGCTTAAGGTTTAGGGTTTTGGGGTTAGGGTTATGGGTCTGGGGCTTAAGGTTTAGGAGGGTTGGCTTCGGGTTTAAGGCCTAGCCTCCAAACCAAAAAACTAGCTAAACTTTGAAGTCTGGTGGATCCCCGCCTAAAAAATCCAGATCCGTCAACCACTAGAGTCTCGAACCCTTAAGCCCTTGAACCCTTGACTGTACTTGAAGGGCTCCCAACAACCATACGGGGAAAAAGAAATGTGTCCCAAAGCTCCACCTACTTAACCCTAAACCCTAAACCCCTGCGAAGATTCGTCCTGGAGGAGTGCTGCATGCAATCCGCAGGTGAGCTCCTTCTGCGACACTGCGGACAAAAGCTCCTGCTTCCAAGAGATTAGCTACAAGGACCCGAAATAAGCCAGGGCTTGAGGTTTCTAGTAAACCCGGAAAAGTTGGACATCGGATTAAGGACAAATAGTGCTGGGATTCGCTATACATTACTCTTAAGGACTGAGGCTATTGGGTTTCCAACTTTTGGGCTTGTACTGTACGGTTTAAGGCTTTGGGGTTAAGATTCCTTCTTTAAGGTTCCTTCCTTGATATGATTCCTTCTACAAGGCCCTTTAAAAGGGAGGGTTTTTCGGGTCCGGGTACAGGGCCTTGGAGGCTCAGGGAACTTCGCAAGAAGAGCGAGTAGTAGAGTTACAAGCAGCCTATGTAAACCTCGGCTATCCTATTCACACCTTTCGAACCCTAAACCCTAAACCCGAAACGTGAACCCTAACTCGTGATCCTTCCTGGTTATGGTTGGGGAAGGTAGGATCTAGGGTTTCATGTAGGTTTTGGGGGCTTTGGCGTGCCGGTATTCGTATTCTAGGGCTTGTAGAGTGGTAGTGTTATCTGGCTTAACGGCTATAGGGGTGGAGGGTTCAAGGTTATACCATTTTGGTTTTAACGTTCGAGGGTCTACTGCGGATTTACGTTGCAAAGTGATGGAGCTGTCGGCTCCCAGGGAAGCTCATCACCGGTGAACAAGGGTCGAGGCATGGTTCATGCGAGTTTACAGGGGTCCCCAGAGATCCCAATACCCCTTTAAAAAATGCCGAAAATCATGATAGCAAGTAATCTACCATTTAAGGTATATTCCTCAATTAAGGTATTAGGTTCTCTGGGTGGCTAAGGATGGAATCATGTCGACGCGTCTTGGAGTCAGGCGCTTCTGGATCTCTCAGAATTCGGCTGTTGATGAAATACAAATCTAGAGCCTAGATAGCTACACAAGGGTTTAGGGGTCTATAAGTATAGGTATGAGAAGATAATGAAGATAACGGTATGCAGCGATATTGATAGTTGTTCAGGCTTCTGAAGCATGGGTTTTCAGTTGTGGGGACTTGCATCTTCCGAGTTTGGGGTTTGGGTGTTGCTGCAGGCCTCAACCGCCGTTAGTGTACCTTGAGGGGTTTAGGGTTTGGGGTTTCGGGAGTAATCAAGGATTTAGGATGAAAGCTACGCTAGACGAACTGCCAGCGCAGCATCTCCCTCACAACATTCCAGCAAGAATCCCAAAAGATTTGGACAGGCGCCCAATCAGAAGCCCATAAGTAACAAAGCCCAAGACCCGTCGAGCCCAAATCCTTACACCTCAAAACCTCTGCGTCCTTGATGGCTTCCAGTCCACCTCCGGCACAGGCCATCGCGAACGGGGAGTAGCCTGGATTCGCACGAAAGAACATGAGAGGAGCTATGAGAAACCAGTTTCATCTACTACATATCCCACTGAGCCAAACAACGCAAAATATACCCTAAACTTGGGCACTGCCCCTGCTATAGTAACAATCTATAACAAGCCTAAACCCTAAACCTTAAATCCTGTAAACCCTAAACCCGAAACCCTAAATACTAAACCCTAAACCTTAAACCCTGAACCTTAAACCCTAAACCCGAAACCCTAAATACTAAACCCTAAACCCTAAACCTTAAATATTAAACCCTAAACCCTAAACCCGAAACCCTAAACCCGAAACCCTAAACCCCCTTACAAGAGCCCGGGAGCCCAGCATGTTGGGGACCTGGACTGCGCAGTCACAGCCTGCCCTGCGAAGGATCTGAATTCCTCCGGCGGCTTGTTCTTAAAGTGATTAAGGTTTTTTTTTCAGCACCTTTTTCCGTCTGCCCATACTGTTCAAGCCTAAAGTGATTTGGGTTTAGGGTTTTGGGTTTTTGGGTTCAGGGTTTAGGGTTTAGAGTTTAGGGTAGGTATGGGTCAACAGGGGGCTTTGGAGGGCGTTGCAAGGGCTGTGTTGGGTTTAGGGTTGAGGGTTTAGGGGTTGGGCAAGCTATAAGTGGAATTACCCTGATACTGCGTACCTCGACCCAGATCACTAATCCCCCAACCTTGCAATCTAGCGACCCATCATGCTTTAACCCGGTGTCAAACTTGAGCAGAAAACCAAGGCGAACCAGAAGCAAAACCTCGAAACAACACAAACGACAGCAATGTTCCGACGTAGCAGAGGAGTAAGTTATAGCATAGATACAGTGAGGAAGCTACTCTAAACCCTAAACCCTAAACCCTAAACCGGAGGTTCCATCGAGGCAGTCGATCGCTTTGCTTGAAGGTTCATCGGTAATGCAAGCCAAGATTGATGAACACCTCCTTGCTGATCTTACCTTTGGTTGGTAGGGAAAGGGGCCTAGGGTTCCTATAAGGGATCTATAAAGGTACTATAATATAGGGGCCTTAGTAATCCTATAGCTTACCTTTGGTTAGTAGGGAACGGAAGAAAGGTGTTAATAGTAGTTATAATTGTTGTACCCCATTCCTCCATTCCCCACTAACCAAAGGTAAGTAATATGATTGATTCATCAGCCGTCCGCAGCAGTCTGAAGGAGGGTATCATTTCTAGCTACTTCTGGCAGTAATCATGGAAGTCTCCTATGTGGCACCTACTACGTTCCGGGCATCTAGCTTCAACTGCCCAGAAGCCTCCGAGTGGGACGTCCCGGATCACTGCTGCAACTTTGAAGCTTCAGCACAAGAGGGAAAGCTTCATTAGATTACGATCTCGAAGATACAACTGCGACCTCCTTCTTACTGCGGCTGACGGTAGCTTGTCATAGTACCCCTCAGAAACACACCCGGCATGCCCCTAACGTGGTCTATTGGTTCCGAAATCATGCTTTTTGCCCTAAACACTGAACAGAAAGACACCGAGTCCCCTCCTTCAGCATTGTTTCCTGCAGCAGCCCAGTGCAGAGCCGTTGCACCGTACCCGTCCTTTGCGTGAGGTGTCATGTTTAATGCAAGAACCTGACACAGAAAGCCCTGGTTGCCATTGATGCGGATGCTAAGTTTTCCTGGTGAAAAACCAGGGATGTGCTAAGGGTCTACGATCGGCCCTTACAGGTCTATAGTTCGTGACGCACGGTTTAGCCCCCGTCCTTTGCAGTCAAGTCTGCGTTGAAGGCCAAGAGCATTCGGAGCGCATGATTGTGTTTCAAGAAGGCACAGATCACCAAGCCTCGGCGAACTCATGAAAGGAAATGCCGAAGTACGTCCAACCAAAAGTAGCAAGAGTATCAAACACATCGCATGGCAACGTTCCAAAACCTTGGCGAGCACATCGATCAAGAAGGGATACAAACGTGAGAAATCGTAAGAAATAGAAGGCATGCGACGAATGTGCCTTCGCTTGCGGAAATGCATCTGTTGCTTCGTTCTCCGTTGTTCATTTCTCCGGATGTAGCAGCAGCAGCAGCAGCAATACTGTAAGAATAACAATCATAATATTAACAATAATCAGATGAAAAGAACAAGATAGCAATAAGAGCAGCAATAGTGGCAGTGGTACCACGTATAGCAGCAGCTCATGCAGCAGTACATAGTTGCGGCGGTCGTCGCAGTAGTAGTAGCAGTAGTGGTCGTCGTCGTCGTAGTAGTAGTAAAGTAGTAGTAGTAGTAGTAGTAGTAGTAGTAATAGTAGTAGTAGTAGTAGTAGTAGTAGTAGTAGCAGTAGTAGTAGTAGTAGCAGTAGTAGCAGCAGTAGTAGTAAAAAGTAGAGTTTTTTCCAGGCACTGGGTTTTGAGCGTTTCGGGGTCGACAGATTCAGTTTAGGGCTAACAAGCAACAGCTTAGGGTGGTGTAGGGTGTAGGGTTTACGATATTCAAGAACCGCCGTTCTCTAAAACAGCGAAGAAGCATGGAGTCTTGGCAGCAAACTGGCAGGGAGAATCCGGCATCGCCGTGCACTCATTGGGATCTGCCTTCTGCTCCAGCAACGCCGAGATGAGCCTCGGTTACAACAGCTCGTTGGACTTCTTCCCCAGGACTTACCCAGAGAACCCAAGCCTCTTAATTAGGGAATATACCTTAAATCATAATATGAAGGCCCCTGTAATTCAAGGCATATTCCTTAATCAAGGGGTATTGGAGTCCCCTAAACCCTATAGATCCCTTAAAGGAACTCTATAGATCCCTTATAGATCCCTTTAAAGCAACCCTAGGTATTCCTTAATTAAGGGGCCCCTTGGGTTCTCTGGGCCTTTAGATCCCTTCAAGGAACCCTATAGATCCCTTATAGATCCCTTTAAAGGAACCCTATAGAGCCCCTATAGACCCCTTTAAGGGCCCCTTGGGTTCCCTGGGCCTTCTGCTCTCTGAGAAGCATCGGGTTCCCTGAGAGAGCAGCGTAGGAGATGGGAGCCCAACCCTCCGAAGTATGCTCTGTGTAGCTCACGAAGCCATTCCTCGTCTGCTCAGGTTCTGGCATTTCGGATGTTTAGGGTTTAGGGTTTAGGGGTTTAGGGTTTAGGGGTTTAGGGGTTTAGGGTTTAGGGCTCAGGCTCTACATGCGGTTTTACAAAGTGCTTACGAGGTTCCTTTTGCAGTGGCACAGGGGCGTTACAAACACTTTACATCTCATGCACCAGGAGCTCCCCTCATTCAGCAACTGTATTGAAAGCTACGACTACGAGTAAACGAGCATCAATTAGTTGAACTCGCTGGGGCCTCTGAGAACAGAGATGTCTTTCGCTGCGCAGCCCAGAAACTTTCAAAAGGATGACCCCCGGCGAGTGCTTGATTCGTGCGGAACGAGATTACTTAAGGCTCTGGGATGACGAGTCCGAGGCAATGAAAAACCTGAAGCCTGAACTAACCCAACGCTCCAAACCCTAAGCTCTAAACCCTAAACCCTGAACCCTACCTAAGCCCTAAACCGCAGCCAGCTTCTGGTGCATGAACTGGGCGAGGATGAAAGCTGCGGGATCCTGCTCATCTGACCTTTGATGGTCGGGCATGCGACAGAACATACCTCCAAGACCTCGCCAGGGAAAATTCAAAGAGGAATCCCGATATCATGTGAAAGAGAGCCTTCACGAGTCTAAAAAAATATACACGGGTTTAAGGATATTAAACACTTAAAGACTTAACCGAGACTTTGATCTTGAGGACCTACCAGAGAGCCTGGAAGCAAGAAGCAAACTCGTACCATCGTTATCACTATTCTGCTACAGTAGAAGCCCAAAAGTTGGAAACCCAATAGCCTCGATCCCTAAGAGTAATGTATAGGGAATCCCAGCACTATTTGGCTTTAATCCGGTTTGCAACTTTATGGGCTTTACTGTACACCCTAAACCCCAAATCCTAAACATTAAAGAGATTTCAAGAGAGCGAAGTGGCTGACAACCTGGAATCAGGTCGTCAATTGGATTCAGAGGTAATCCTCGGAAGTGTACCGGCTGGAGATTCAGCAAGAGACGATAGTCGTGGAACTTCGCTTTCAGAAGATACGACGTCATCTTCGTGCTCACCTGGATTCTAGGAGATCGGTTCGATAGGCAAAACAACGGAAAGCATACTGTTACTATCTGTATGTGTATATATATATATACCCCGAGTATGCTAAGTTAAACACTTGAGGAACTTGCATCAAGAGATAGCAGAACATGGAAATCGAATTGCGACAGGGTAGATCCCGCACAGTGACAAAGCACACACTCTACACACTCCGAACGTGCCATGAGGACCACAACCACCACGACAACCACCACGTCGACCGCCACGAGGACGAGGCCAACCAAGACGACGGGACCACGAACCACCGCGACGACTGAGACCACCGTCGAGCACGCAGACAGGCACCACACTGCGGTGGCAGCCGAAATCTATGCGGGACTGTGGCACCGACACGTATTCCACGCACGTCCCAACCCTAAATGCGCGAGGGACTGTCGCAGGAGCACGATTTTAAAGGCTGTGACGCGAGAAACCGCGCATCCCCGAGGAGCAGCTTAGCTCTGGAAATACTTAGGGATTTAGGGATTTAGGGATTTAAGGTTTCGGGTTTAGGGTTTAGGGTTTAGGGTTTAGGGTTTAGGGATTAGGGTTTAGGGTTTCGGGTTTGGGGTTTAAGGGATCTGTAGTAGGGTTCTAATACAAGGGATAATGGGACGTGAAACCAAAATGCGCACCGCACCACAGCCGCTGCAATAATACCCGCCGCACAAACCTCGTGGGAACTCTAATTGAGTTTTCTTTACATCGAACGCAAGAACCAAAGAAGTGCTACCACACTGTGGTATATCGGTATATCCTGTTTCGCTGCATCCCCTGAATACGGCGGCTTAAACTGCGAAGAGAAAAAAGGACCCAGCCACCATGTCCCGCAAGACCGGAGCGATCCTTTGGCGGTCTGCATCGACCTCAGAAGAGGCTCGAAGTCAGGAGGATTCATTTACAGGGTTTAGGTTTTGGGATGTTAGATTTCGGGGTTTAGGGTTTCGGGTTCTCCGGAAGTTTCAGCACCACTCCAAAAAGCAGTCTTCGGAGTTGCATTGTTGCCTTCTGATTGGAGCTTGGGGTGAGGTTCGGATAGCGTTATGGAATGCGCGGTTCAAGAAGTCAGACACAAATAAATCCACGGCACAGTAAGTCACAGCAGCAGCTAACACAAGGCACTAGTGACTGGTGACGTACATTAACCCCTAGTACGTCCTTGATAATGGACTGTTCCCCAAGGGTGATTGAGAAAAAGACCTCGCGAAAACAATCCGAGAACCAACCCTGACCAACGTCTCCCCACAAGGCCAAGGAAACTCGTGAAAGAAGTGAAAAGGAAAGGCTGCTTCTGGGTTTCGGAGGCTGGGATTTTTGATCATAAACCTAGGATTTATCATAAACCTCAAACCGCCCTAAACCCTAAACCCCCCAAGCCAAGGGACTGTGAAGAAGCCTTCTCCCACTGGCTGCTTGATCCAGTTGTAGCTTGGAGCTCGCGTCTGAAAGATGCTACTCCTGGGCTATCAGGGTTCCTTAAAAGGGATCTATAGGGATTCCAAGTAAGGGTTCCTTAAAAGGGATCTATAGGGATTCCTAGTAAGGGTTACTTTAAAGGGATCTATAGGGGTTCCTAGTAAGGGTTCCTTAAAAAGGATCTATAAGGATTCCTAGTAAGGGTTACTTTAAAGGGATCTATAGGGGTTCTAGACGCTCTGGCAATTGGAGGGTCGGGGGACTTAGTAACTGGTTATTTTAGGGACGTATAACTACCAGAACCCCAATTAGGGTCCCTTTCAGGGTACTTATAAGTCTACTTACTATCTAGTTACTAAGTCCCCCGACCCCCAAAACCCCCCCAAGCCTCTAAAGCCCCAAACGTTTAAACCGCGAACCCCTAAACCCGAAACTCCAAACCCCAAAAAGCCCAAAACCCAAAACCCTAACTAAAGCCCTAAACCCCTAAACCCCGAAACTCTGAAGCCCTAAACCCCTCAACGCCTGAACGCCTCAACCCGAAAACCCCCAACCCCTAACCCTAAACCCCCAAACCCTAAACCGACACAAACGCCTAAACCCCCAAACCCCCGAACCCCTGAACACTAAACCGCTAAACCCCCCTGAACCCCGAAACCCTATACCCCCTTATCTCTCGCCCAAAGGGCTGAATGTCGATGGAGTCGCAGCTGGCATCCTGGATGCTGAACTCCTTACAAACCTGCTCCAAGCGACACCAACCTGCAAGGGTAGGGCTTAAGGTTTAGGGTTTAGGTTTTAGGGTTTCAAGGGTACATAGACCCTACACCCAGAGGCCTACACCCTAACGGCCCGAAAAGCGGGATTGGCAAAGCCCAGTGCAAAGTGATTTAAGGCTCTCGGGTTCTATCTGGGTCCCGGATTCGGAGTTCAGGGCACTCTTAGCGCTTCATAAGCTTCTGAGCCAGTTCCACGAAGTCCTGCCTCGTTCAGCCCAAGTGTGCTTGTTCAAAAGCGTGTCATGCTCCTCATGGCGCACATGCGGACATAGAATGGCAAAATAGCGGCAATTCTCGATGTAGTACGGAATGCTGATGATGGCTTTTCTGCGATGCTCCGTCTGATCGGAAGCTTGTGGGCAGCAGAAATAGTCGTACCAAATGAACAGCGGCTTCGATGCGATCTCCGCCCCTGTGATCTTAGTGCCATCACCGAGGTACAGCTCTATGCTGAGGCTTGCGGGAACGTCCGCTCTTCCGTGCAGAAAGCCTTTCAAAGCGTCCTGGCAAGCGTCTTGGAGTGTCACCATGTTCGAGACGAAACCCGTGCAACACATCCTGTGGAATCTGCAATCGCAGGTCCAATCACTGGACAGCTGCTAGTTCGTGAATGGAGTGGTGTTGGTAGTGGTAGCACGAGTGGTAGTAGCTGTAGTAGTGGTGCTCTTCGCTGTCGCAGTGATCGTAATATTAAGAGCAAGAGTTGCAGTCTATAGTTCATAAAACAAAGGTTCGACAGTAAGTTGGAAGCCGTTAGTAGCTTGGCAGCTCGTGCAGCTGAGCTGCGGTAGCCCTTCGTTGGATTGTAGCTCTTGGGAAGCACAAGTAGTTGGCGCAATAGCAACCGTAGAAATGGTAGCAGTAGTCGTAGTAGTTAGTAGTAGGAGTCGTCGTCGTCGTAGTACTGGTGGTAGCAGAAGTAGTAGTAGTAGTAGTAGTAGTAGTAGTAGTAGTAGTAGTAGTAGTAGTAGTAGTAGTAGTAGTAGTAGTAGTAGTGGTAGTGGTAGTGGTAGTGGTAGTGGTAGTGGTAGTGGTAGTGGTAGTGGTAGTAGTAGTAGTAGTAGTAGTAGTAGTAGTAGTAGTAGTAGTAGCAGGAGTAGTAGTAGTAGTAGTAGTAGTAGGAGGAGGAGGAGGAGTAGTAGTAGTAGCAATAGTAGTAGCAGTAGCACTAGCACTAGCACTAGCAGGAGTAGCAGTAGCTGTAGCTGTAGCAGTAGCAGCAGCAGCAGCAGCAGTAGGAGTAGTAGTAGCAGCAGTAGTGGTGGTAGTAGTAGTAGTAGTCGTCGTCGTCGTCGTCGTAGTAGCAGTAGCAGTAGCAGTAGCAGTAGCAGTAGCAGTGGCAGTAGCAGTAGCAGTAGCAGTAGCAGTAGCAGTAGCAGTAGCAGTAGCAGTAGCAGTAGCAGTAGTAGTAGTAGTCGTCGTCGTCGTAGTAGTAGTAGGAGCAGTGGCAGGAGTAGCAATAGGTGCTGGTGCTGGTGCTGGCGGTGGCGGTGGGTGGCGGTGGGTGGCGGTGGCGTTGGCGGTGGCGGCGGTGGTCGTGGTGATGGCGGTGGTAGTGGTGGCGGTGGTGGGGTAAGTGGTCGTGGCGGTGGCAGTGGTCGTCGTCGCCATCCCCGTCGAAGTCGTAGTCGTATGTAGACGTTTTGGAACCCAAGTCGTCTAGTCACCATTATCGTAGTAGCAGCAGCAGCAGCAGTCAGTCTTGTGTAAGAACGATAACACTCACGAGTTAATAACAGGAACTCAGCAGAATAGTTTCACACATAAAACTCGTAACTGTCTTAGCAGTAGGGTTACAATATAAACGAACCATATTCGTCGCCATCACCACCGTTATGGCTGCAGCGAAAACCATGACAGCAAGCTGAACCGTGACAATCCCCAGCCCCTGCAAGCTGGAACCCACCACAAGTCCGCCTCTGATCCCTGAGCCCATAACACCTACCCATAAACGGCAGTCCAAAATAGCGACCATCCGCAGACAGAAAGGACTTGACACTGAATCTGAAACAAGAAACCCCGAATCCAAACGATCAGGGCCATGATGTCCTGCAGTACACGGAACTGCTTCATAGAGGGATCTGGGTGTCCAATCCCCGCCCACTGGTGCGACACGAACATCGCCTGCGAGTTGAGCTCGAGCCGCCCAGGCTCAGACCCGACAGGCACATTGCACTTTGGGGTTTAGGGTTTAGGGTTTAGGGTTTGGTGCTTGAAGGATCATGGGACTTAGTAAGTAGGTTATAATTGGGATTATAAGTCCCCTAAGCGGGGTTATCCTAATTATAACCTACTTATAACCTTGCTTACTAAGTCCCATGAGCCTTTAAGTGGTGGAGTGTCCAAACCCTGACCTCTGACAACGAACTGTGCTACGAGCTTAAACTCGGCACCACCATGTCCCGAATCCTACATTTAGTCTTGATCGCCCTCAAGTTCCACTCTGTTAAGAAATCGGGCTCACCGACAGTCACCATCATCACACCTTCGCAGCAATGCAGCCATGATGCTGCATGTTTTGTCCGGCTCCAAACAAAAAGCCACAAAGCCCTCACACTCTAAAACTGAAAACCTGTCCTTTCATGTGGCCCTTGAATGTTACAGCTCACCTGGAACCCTGAACCTTTGCACCCTTCAACCACAAGCCCTGACCCTAGCAATCCGATCAAACCTTCCAAAACCCGCCCCCCAACCCTAAGCCCTAAACCCTAAATCCTGCCCGCCCTCCAACCTTAAACCCCAAACGCTAAACCCTGTAGTAGAAGCCAGAAAGTCGGAACATCATTCTCCTCATGCCCTTAACGTAAATCAAAGGGGATCCTAGCACGAATCCTCCTATAGTCATGTTCAAACTTTCTGGCCTCTACTAATACTACAAGTACCCCAAACCTTAAACCCCCAAACCCAAAGCCCCTAAACCCTAAGCCCCGAAACCTTTAAACCCGAAACTCCCCCCAAACCCCTAAACCCTGAACCCTAAGTCCTAGCGTAAAGATCGGACCTGCCCCATGCTTTCATCAAAGACCACGAGGATCTCTTCGGCTATTAGCGCCTCATGGTCCTTGCACTTTTGGGGCTTTTGGGTTCAGGGTTTAAGGTTTAGGGTCTAGGGGTTTAGGGTTTTGGGTTTGGGTTCAGGGTTTAAGGTTTAGGGTCTAGGGGTTTAGGGGTTTAGGGTCTAGGGTTTAAGGGTTTAGGGTTTAGGGGTTTGGGGTTTAGGGTCTAAGGGTTTAGGGGTTTAGGGTTTAAGGGTTTAGGGGTTAGGGGTTTAGGGTTTAAGGTTTAGGGTCTAGGGGTTAAGGGTTTAGGGGTTAAGGGTCATGGGTTTAGGGTTTCGGGGTCTCGGGGTTTAGGGGTTTAGAGGTTTAGGGGTCAGGGGTTTAGGGGTTAGGGGTTAGGGGTTTAGGGTTTAAGGGTTTAGGGGTTAGGGGTTTAGGGTTTAAGGTTTAGGGTCTAGGGGTTAAGGGTTTAGGGGTTAAGGGTCATGGGTTTAGGGTTTCGGGGTCTCGGGGTTTAGGGGTTTAGAGGTTTAGGGGTTAGGGGTTTAGGGGTTAGGGGTTAGGGGTTTAGGGTTTAAGGGTTTAGGGGTTAGGGGTTTAGGGTTTAAGGTTTAGGGTCTAGGGGTTAAGGGTTTAGGGGTTAAGGGTCATGGGTTTAGGGTTTCGGGGTTTCGGGGTTTAGGGGTTTAGAGGTTTAGGGGTTAGGGGTTTAGGGGTTAGGGGTTAGGGGTTTAGGGGTTTCGGTGTTTAGGGGTTTAGGGGTTAGGGCTTTAGGGGTTTAGGGGTTTAGGGGTTTAGGGTTTAGGGGTTAGGGGTTTAGGGGTTTAAGGTTTAAGGGTTTCGGGTTTAGGGGTTTAGGGTTTAAGGGTTAGGGGTTTAGGAGTTTCGGGTTTAGGGGTTTAGGGTTTAAGGGTTAGGGGTTTAGGGGTTTAGGGGTTTAAGGTTTGGGGGTTTCGGGTTAAGGGGTTTAGGGGTTTAGCGTGTGGGGTTTAGGGTTTTGGATCTAGGGTTTAGGGGTTGAGGGTTTAGGGTTTAAGGGTTTAGGGTTTAGGATTGGGGTTTAAGGGTTGAGGGGTTTAGGGTCTGGTGTTTAGGGTTTGGGACGGCTTACCAGGGTACCACCAAGCTCTAAAGCTCGAAAATGTAACTCGGATATGCCGCTGGCGAGTTTTTGGTATAAGAGCAGAAGCCTACGGCCCTAAACCCAAGCCCTTTGGTGACTCAGGCTGGCGGGAGTTCTCTTACTGGGGCTTGAGGGGTTCATTGTGGTTTTAACGGCACTTGCTCTAACACTTGGCCCACAATCGGCACAAAGGCAGCCTTTTTGTGGCTAAGGGAACTGTATGTCCAATGGTCTTAAATCCAAGATGACTCTCAACCCAACCCCTCTTAGAGACCTCAAAGCCGAAACCTTAAACCATAAACCCTAAAGCCCTAACGGCCTTACACTTCAAAAACCTAAACCTTGAACCCACAACCCCTGACCCGCCGACCTTCATCTCGCTCATCTGCACCAGAATTTCTGCAGGCACGACATACATCTTGAAGAGCTGGCTCGTGCCGCTGCGTGTCCTGCCAGGGTTTTCGAAGAACATAAAAACCCCTGCAGTACGTCATTAAGGTTTCGGGCCTTGGGCTTGGAGCTCCGCACTTTGGGCGTGAGGTTTACTCACACATACCCTTCGGATCCGAAATCTCAACCAAAAATCACAATAATTACTGGGTTTTTAACAACTTTCACCTAAGAAACGATTTGCTCCTTCAGTTCTTTTCTATCTGCTCGTCTGTCGTTTTGACCATTACGTTTTACAAACCTGAGCAGGGGCTTCTAAAGCCCACGTTGGGGTAGCCTTTGCTGTCTGACCGTGCGAGCATTCGTTCAAACTTTGATGCCGGTCCTCTGCACAGGCACATCGTCGGCGAACTCTTTCAACGATTTGCTGAGGTTCGCCATGGAAAAACATTCGTGGTGGAGCGCAACAACAAGCTTTCGCTGCACGCAAGCACGCAGGATGTAGGTCAAAAATCTGGAGCCGAAACATACATTCACATGAAAACAAAGCGCTACCAATCCTCTTCAAAAAACCTGTTGATCCGTGTCAACAACAACTCTAAAAATCCGCGCGACCCGATTGCATTAGCCGACGAGACATGCAAACCCGTCGTGCTTGTCTCCTGGGAATGGATGTCTTCGGTTAAGCAGCATGGTTAAGCCCTTGAGGCCAATCTGGGCGACCGGGCAGAAGCAAAGCAGGCAGTTGTTTAAAAGATGTGCAAAGCTCTGAGGGATGTCCCGAACCTGCCGCAGTCCAGGCTCTGTCACGGGTTTTCAGTGGCACCGCGAGCTTGGGTTGTTGGCCGAACGTGCATTGCAAAGTCCGGGCATGTTTCAACTTGCACATCGGGGGCCCCCTATCCAGCCGAGCACAAACTAAAACCATGCACTTCGGGGGGACCCCTGAACCTACCTGTCATTTTTCTCCGACACAGATGCTAGGTTTTGCAGCGAGGTCATCAAACAAGGTGACAACGAATGGAGTCTAAGCTTTATGCCATGCTACACTAGTTTCGTTCATTTACTTCACACAACGGAAACACGTAAAGACGACGCACGGACCAAAGACCTGCAAGAACCTGATGGAATCAGTTTAATGCTTAACTGTTCGGCATGCTGCTGACAAAATTGAAGCAAGGCGAAAAAGAACACAAAAAGGTAAACCTTGCTTGGATTCCTCCTCTGCACTGCTTCCCGGCTGGAGCACAACGGTGCAATGAGGGCTGCAAGGCTGACGAATGGGCTTCTGCACATGAGTAGTTGTCAAAATAAGGGCCCCTTTCTGGGTACCCTAAATAAGAGGTGCCGTATTAAAATAAGGACCCAAAAAAGGGACCCTAATTTTGACAACCATATATATTGGTCCCTTTTTGAGTCCCTATTATAATACGGCACCTAATATTTAGGGTACCCAAAAAAGGAACCCTAATTTTGACAACCACCCACATAGAACACCTCTAGAAAGGCTCCGCTCGAGTGAGTTCTATCCTGACGCCCCTACCAAGAGCCGGTATCGAGAGTGACGCGTCCTGGGAACAACTTGGGGGGTCGGGGGACTCAGTAAGCAGTTAGTAAGTAGACTTATAAGTACGCTAAAAGGGACCCTAATTGGGGTTATGGTACTTTTATTTCCTTAGTGTTGACCGCGTGGGAGTCTCTGAAAGTCGACTGTTGTTGATTGCATGCGAAAACTTAAACAATGCAACACACTCGGACAGCGTCTTCGTTTTCTCTCGAGAGGGCAGAGGGGTGCAGTAAGTCTCGAGTTTGTTCACACCTTGCTCGCCCTGCCACAAACGGCAGGGTTAGGCAAAAAGGAAATGGCACTTCAGCAAAGGTGAGGGAGGGCGGGCCAAAATTTCATGGGCCAGAGAAAGTTTCTACCTCCACATCCCTCCCCATCTCGAGCAGAGGCATCGGATGGTCAAGGGATTCCACTGTCCAAACGCAAAGCGAATGACATGTGTTGAAAAGCTGAAGCATGAAAAGTTGCCATGAAAACCACGCTTGAATTTTCAAAGTAAATTCATCAACACACGGAAATAAGAGCATCGTCCCTCCGGGACCGGAACTTTATTTCCTTAGTGTTGACCGCGTGGGAGTCTCTGAAAGTCGACTGTTGTTGATTGCATGCGAAAACTTAAACAATGCAACACACTCGGACAGCGTCTTCGTTTTCTCTCGAGAGGGCAGAGGGGTGCAGTAAGTCTCGAGTTTGTTCACACCTTGCTCGCCCTGCCACACCCCATCTGAGAGCGAGCTCGGTAAGCAGATGCATCAAACCGGCCAAGCGCACGGAGCTTGAAGCCTTTGCACTCCATCCCTCAGTAAATGACCGAAGACACTTCGACTGGGCTCATCTGCTGGATTAGAGCTGGTTGGCACTCGGCCATACCACGGCCGGATCCTTGCTGAGTCCTCCAAGTCAAGGACCGAACTCACTATGGACTGACCAGGAAGAGTGGACGACTTCCCGGAAACCAAAGCTCCTTTTGCAGCTTCGTTGTCCAAGTATATCACTACAAGGCAACGGGTGAGTCGGCTCATCCACAGCTTCAAGGCGGCCCAGATGGCCAGCAGCTCCACCTCATAGATTGGGTGGCTCGAAGTTTCCTTGAGTCTGTTCAAAGCGTCAATCGGAAGGCTGGCTGCAAAGAACGAAAGAGGTTTACCGAGTGGGTCGTACAAGATGCCGCCCACGCCGGCTACATCTCCTTCGAGGCTTCCGTCAGTGAAAACGTAAAAGGTTTCTTTGATATCAGGAGTGAGCTGCACAGGTGGCGACTCCAGAGCTCGATCACGCAGGTACGTGAGAGCATCACGAAGGTCACTGCTCAGCTTCTTACCCCTATCTAAACCTTTAGCCCTAAGACCTAACACTCTCAAGGCTTGGCAAGGCCGGCGGCCGAAAAGGAAAGAACTGAACCAGTGGAGTCTGCCTCGAAGGGCCTCAGCCTCCGACGACTCAAGCAAGCCGGATTCAAGAATGTGTGTGAGGGTCTGCCTCAATTCCTGAATACGCTCGGGCGTGTGCTTGATGTACACGACTCCTTGTCCGAACTCACTCAGATCTATGATCAGACCAAGGGCCCGACATTGCTTGGAGAATTCGGTGGCTTTCTTTCCTTCCCTGGCGAACGTTATTCCAAGGATGTCAAGCAGGGCTTCCGCACAGGACTCGGCGCAAGGGCAATGCTCGTCCAAACTGAAAAGAGGAAAATCGTCGAAATAGTTGCACCAAGAAAGGCCCAGCAGGGCTGAGCCGATGTGCCACGTGGCTGCAGATGTTCTGAGAAAACCAGCCACTGACCCCGTCGTTCCGAAGGGGAGCGCTGCCGCTCCGAAGAATTTGGGTTTCCTCGAGCAAGTGTCAAGCACGATGATTCTGAAGATTTCTCGGTCTGAGGGATCGACGGCGTATTGCTTGTACGCCCATTTTAAATCAATAGTTTTCCCCGACACCTGCTTCCCTTTAGCTCGTGGGTCCATCATGGCCCAGACGAGGAAGGCCGAGATGAAATCAATGTTGTGCAGCCTAAAACGTTCGGGCAATCCAACGGTCTGATTGATTCCGGCTGCCTTCCCATCGTCTATTACCCTAGTCTTGGCACCTTGGACGATGCCGAACCTTCGGGCCAGTAGGATCGACGAAAGGTCCGGATCCGGGTCTTCGAACAGCCAGCCTTTCTGCTGTTCCTCAAGAGTTTCGGACCAAGCCTTCTCAGCGACAGCATCGACCGCCTGAGAGGATACCCTGGCCAGCGTAGCGGCATTCCTGGCTGATGCACATCTAAGCTGTTTGTCCAGGCTGGTCTTAGGGGGGCGAGGCTCGGCAACAAACAACCCGGTCCTAGGCATCCATCCGGTCAGCGGAAAACCCTTCCTAAGGTCGGGGACTAAGGATTGGTCCGGGAAGGACGAGTCGGCGAGCAACCGCTCAAGTAGGAAGGTTCTCTTCCCACCAAGGATCTTGCTCACCAAAGGGTCCAATGATTTCCGAGCTTGTTCCTCCACAGGCTCAAGTTCCTTAGCGATCTTGCTCCACTCGGCTAGTCGCGATTTCCCCAGGTCCTCGTGAGCCGCCCGTCCATTCAAGAGGTTATCCACAAGGAGCTTGGTTCGTTCATCGATCTGAGCCTCGAGTATCCTTTTAGGGTGGCCTGCCAACACTGCTTGCTGCACGAAGTCCGACGGGGTACGGGGAATGCCTATCCAAAGTACCTCGCACAAATCATCGAAAGTCGAATCACTCATGAATCCACAAACCTTGCAGATGGGCTGGTCCTCTTCCTCGAGAGGAGGAGCATGTGAGTCCAAACTCCATTTCCAGTTGGATCCCAAAGTGGATTCAAGCACGGCAAAATCAAGGCTAGGAAGAACGCAAGCCCGAATCTGACCCCAATGCAAAAGCTTGCGACGAACAGCACGAGCACTTTGGGGTAGGCTTTCAACAAGGCGGGCGGGCAGGCAGCCAAGCCCAGCGGCACCGCCCACGCGTCGTAAGCGCCGAATTCACTGACTAAGGCCCGTTGCTTCCGGGGCTGTTTCTCATAAGCCAGCCGTGTGACTGAGCTGGATGGCCCGAACAAAGATGAGGCCACTGGGGTTCTGCAGACCTGAGAAGCAACTAGCTCAGCTACCCTAGCGCACAAGAGAGGTGGATAGGCACCTTTGGCTCCTGCATCGGAAGTCACGTTCCAAGGTGCATGCGTATGCTTGCGGTTACAAGAAAGCCCCAAGGGCTTGAACCATGCAGTAGAGCAAAGCCAGCGAAGCTTTCGATCTCGATCACCTCCATGCATGCACTCGTGAAAATCCACGACATGATTATCGGGACCTGACAAGAGGCCCTGAAAGATTGGCATGATCCAAAAGAGGGAGGAGGCCGGAGCCTCCACACTAACAGGAATGTTGAACTTCCGGCACAACTGGAACACATCATGACAGAAATTATACAGGTCGTTGGCTTCAGTAACTCTCCTTTGCAACGAATCAGGCAGTCCGTCCAGACCTAAGGGCTGCGCAAGAGATCTGGCCTGAGGGGCCGAATTATTGGCAGATTCCTTGTTCCGGGCCGCCAAACAAGTTTCCTGAGGCGGCGCCATGTGCACATACTGCAAGGAAGAGGCATGGTCCTGGATCAATTGCAGCACGACCTCACACTCCGACCGATCAGCGAAATCGAGTGCTTGAACGGGATGGCTGGATTTGCATACTTTGTCAAAAGCCAAGGCTTGGAAACCCAAGCGTGTGAATGCCTGACTCAAGCGGGCAGTGCCGGCGAACAATTCAAGGAACATGCCTGCCTCACCATCGTCCTGAGGGCACTGCGAGATTGGCTTGGATTGGTCCTGAGAAAACTGCGATGCGGGCTCAAGCTGTTCCTTAGAAAGCGGCAGCGGAATATCAAACGCAGTCAGCATCGCCCGGTGTTCCGGCGTAAGTCGCTCGAGGCGGTTGACCGAGAATGCAACCAAAACTATCCTAAACCCATTAGACCACGGCAGTGTCTCGTGCTCGAGAAAGGGGTCAAACTGAAGCGGTCCCTCACTGAGTGATAAGTCCACTGGCCCATCGGGGCGGTGAAGACGCAACTGACCTCCTTCGAAGAAGCTAAGGGCACAGATCCCGTTACGAGATCCCGGCAAGTTGTTGGCGTCTTTGTGCAGAGCAGTCTGCATGTTCCGGAAAAGGCCAACTGATGTAAAGTTTAAACCGGGAAAGGCAAGCCTAGCTAGGGCAACCAGAAGACGGGTGCAGGCTGGGAACTCTCGGCAGCGACGTCGCACGCCGGTGATCCCTCCTTGGTTGTAAGCGCCCGTTATGAAACACTTCTCAAGTGGATCCTTCGCTGTTTCACGGGTGGATTCTTCGTCGGGCAGGAGCTCCGCGAGTTTCACCCAGGATGAAGAGTCTCCTGAGCCTTGCTGAAGACAATTCCTTGCGAATTCTTCAGCCGGGTGTTGGCCGAAGTCTGACACCTCAAGCGGAGTGAAGGAAAAACTCAAACGGTCTGGCTCGGAAATGGTGTGAGCAGGATCTGCGGCGAAGGCACGGGCCGAGCACACGGAAGAATCACGATGCTGCAAAGCCGGCTCTTCACTCACTTCGGAGCTCAACAAGAGTTGATCTTGGGGCTCACGATTTCCAGAAAAGTTTGGCGGGTCATAGCAAGGAGTTTCAGCTCGATCTGAATTAGATTTGGGGCCGGAAGCACGGACTCTCTTGGGAGAGCGACTCCTGGCTTTAGCATGCACTGTTCTGTCGGAGCGATCACGGGAGGCTAGTCACTCTTTGTCGATCTTCCCGTCGGCCTTCCCGGATCCTTTTCCTCCTCCTTTCCCGCCTTTGCCCTTGCCATTGGTTTTGTTAAACCAACAGGCCGACCATCCATGGCCAGCTTTCCGGCATCCCATACAGGCATGCACTCCGCGCTTGCATGCTGGCGGGTGTCCTCCATCTGTCGCAGCATTGCAAGTCCCGGTGTTGTGAGTCCAGCAGAGTCGACGGCCTGATTGATCGGTGTAGAACTTGCAATCTTTGAGTTCTTTGGGCATGTTGTCCACCTTCACCGCCCCTGTGAGCGCGGATGTGCGGCGCTCGCGGCGCGGCTTCTTCTTGGGGTTCTTATCCCCATCAAGAGATCCGTCGATGACCGAATCCGTCGCGAGGCTGCTGAGGGCTTTTGGTAGCGGGAGCAAGTGCATCGTGATCCGTGGATCCGTTCTCAAGCGGTCCAACAGAGTGTCAGCCTCCATCTCGCCTGTTGCGCTTGCCTTGACATTCTTGATCTCCTTGGACATCAACAGGAACATCTCAGAATCAGCTTTAACGACCTGGGCGACCGTTACAGGACTGTATCCTGGGATGGAGTCAGAAGTCAAGCACTGCAGCAGGTAGCAAACCCATTTCTCATGGGTCTCCCAGGAGATGATGCGGTTCATATCGAAGGCTAGGCCGCGTCGTTGCATGCACCACTGCAGCTGAAGCGGCGTACTGTGCTCTGCAATGAGCTTGTCTGGCTGGGCCGTGACGGTCACCGAGTTATCCAGCACGGTCAGGACCCTGGACTTCTCCTTGGGCCCAACCTTCAACTCTTGATCACGTTTTGTGCATTTGCTAGGAGCCAACCAGGTCAAGCAGTTGGTCTCGGACATGTGGGCCACCGCGTCCACCAGTGCGTGCGATGGAAGCAGCTCGCCCTGGATCACAAGTCCTGAAAGCCGTATCCGCTGTTCTCGGTAACGAGCCTCTTTTTCCGCCAAGGGAAGACGCTTGGGCTCATCGGTGGTGTCACCTAGTCACTACTTGTTGCTTCAGCTGGGCAACAACATATGTCGCCGCTTCGAAGTGCAAGCGAGTGAGCTTCGAAGTCTCGCCCAAGCTGGCGCCTAGGCCCAAGACGTCCTCAGAGAACGCCCGAAACTCATCGACACTCGGAGGGGCCTGCGGGGTCCCGCACGCAAAAGCCAGGTCTGAGAAGGATTTGATCTCCTTCCCCGCAAGCTTCCGGTACATCTCGTCTCCCCCACATATCTCCACACATCTGCTCCGGAAGGAGGCGTGCGAATCCACGAGGGCCATAGCTTGTTCTCGGCAGAAGATCCTGAGGGGCTTCGGGCCAAACCTGCATGACAGACTAGGCGCAGTTGTATATCCTCTCCCAGCAGATAGACAGACCTCGCTAGCATGTTGTTCCGGATCTGCCACTGACTGGGTCACACTCGAACGGGCACAGCAGGTCACCGCACGCTTTCAGTGTCAGCCTCAAGTTTCCAGCGGAACAGTGAAGCGAAAATCCGATCAAACAGCTCGCGCGGCTCCTTCCAAAGTGTGGCAAATCTACAGCATGACATCCAAACTTGTTTTCCGCTCTCGGAGGAAGCGCTTTTCTCCTGCGCATGGGTGTCAGTCGGTAGCTGCCACTTTCTTGCACGCCCGACAAACCGGGGTGTCATATCTCAAAATTCCAGGTTCCCCGATTGGAGGTTTCACGATTCTGCCGCACAAGGTCATGTTGACATGTCGCAACCGCTGCAAATGCAGCGTCTTGAACCTTGCATGCTGGACGAACCTGCAGCCATCAGCAGGCGCTGGCGGAGGCAGGAGTCGAACTGGCCGCACTGTGGGCTCAGGAACACTGGCACTCGAGTTTGAGCTGGATGAGTCCGAGGATGAGCTGTCTGTTGACCGCCCACTTCCAGACTCTTCAGCAACCGGCATTTCATCTGCTACAAGTGACTGCTTCAGGAGCGGCATGCTCTCAGCAGAGCTTCCTGCGCGGGGAGGCTCGTGGGCGGCCTCAGCTCAGGCTCTTCCTGAAGAGGAGCGGCAAGACCTGCAGGGGGCTCTCCCCCCTCAAAACGTCCAGCCCTTGTGGAATCGGGATGGAACCGACCTGATCGGATTGCTGTGATCACCATCTCAATGAGTCTCAGAGGCCTAGCCATTGCATCATCTGCGTACTCGTCACTCATGCGTCCTGGGTGGCTATGACCCCCCATCGCCAAGCGATCGTCATGGCTGATTCCCCATTTGGCGCAGTAACTGAGCAAGGTCCTTTTAAGGCTGTGCGAAGTTGTCTTCAGGCCCTCCCTGGCAGGAAGGAGTCTAAGCAACCAATCTCCACACTCATCAGAATCCAATGCCCTGATGGTGGGGACTCCTCTGGCATCGGGAGCAGGCATGAATGCATGTTCGGCGGACAGGCCCAAGGCGGATCTTGCATCAAGGAATTTCTCAATCCAACCTTCCGAAGACACCCCCAAACCCGGCGCGACGAGCTCGAGAGGCACAGGGCTCCTCCCGCGCCGATTCATATTCTTATGGATGTCTATGACTGCCTCAAGGTAGTGCACCTTCTGGTTGTCTGAACCTTTGTCGAATTTGAAGGAATCAACGTGCTGTGCATCGCTCCATCGGGATCGTGAGTACACGCAAAACAATGCACAGCCGGCGAAAAGGCGGTCCCATGGGTTGGAACTCGAATCGAGGACCTGATGCAATGCTGCCAGGTCGATCACTCTCAAGGGCGCTGCCTTCGAAGGAGTCTTTGCAAGGCGAGAGGCCCCGACCCCCCAGCAGCGCCTGCTAATTGCAATTTGACTGAAGGCCTCGATGTTGAACACGTGACGAGCGAAGAGGAGCCCTTCCATGACCCCTCTTAGTTGAGACGGGAGGGCCCCGCCCGTCTTTGCCTCTTGCAGAAGCTCGTAAAGCTGAGGCTCACTCACCGGGAACATCAACCCCTTGGCTTCACCAACCTTGATGATTTTCAAAATCGAATTGGCCCTTTTTGTCATGGTACTAGGGGCTTTTCTTGCCATGTAGTCGTCAAGTGTGTTGAACTTCTCCGTTTCGGACAAGGAGGCAATGGTTTTGATGACAGGGTCGGATTCACAATCAAGCTTGTCGAAGATGCACGACCACTTGCACAACGCCCTACGATGCTCAGCCTCTCGCTTGTCCCTCCAAGAGATCACTCTCCTATTCTTGACAACTTCCAAGAAAGAGGAAGGGCCCTCTTTGCGAGGCCTCTTCACAGAAGCCTGAACCTCAGCCTGTGGCGGTGTCGGCTCCTCTATGGAACCTGCGAAAGATGGTCTATGAAATTTGAGCGCTGGGACCATCCTGTCTACTGCGGGCTTGTCATTGAAGAAGCTTTCCCAAAACCCAGACTCCCAAGCGAAAGAAGGAACCGGATCACCAAGCGTCAAGAGAGATGCTCCCAAGGCCAACGCCCTCTGTTGAGGTGTTGTGGTAGGCGCTGACTCTCCCTTCAGTCCAAGGCTAGATGAAGCTGCTTCCTTTGCACGGCTTGTGACAGAAACTCCTGACGGGACACTGCACACATCCCAAGAGTCCTCGGGCTCTCGGTCGATGGGCTCACTCAGAGCAAACTCGGAAGGCTGATACTCCTCTTCAAGCGAATGAGGTTCAAGGCCTGCCATAATGCTAGGCTCGAGAGGAGACCCACCTACAAACCCCCCCGACCCAAAATTTCATGGGCCAGAGAAAGTTTCTACCTCCACATCCCTCCCCATCTCGAGCAGAGGCATCGGATGGTCAAGGGATTCCACTGTCCAAACGCAAAGCGAATGACATGTGTTGAAAAGCTGAAGCATGAAAAGTTGCCATGAAAACCACGCTTGAATTTTCAAAGTAAATTCATCAACACACGGAAATAAGAGCATCGTCCCTCCGGGACCGGAACTATAAGTCCCTAAAATAACCAGGTACTAAGTCCCCCGACCCTCCAAGTAGCAGGAAGGGATTTATCCGTGGTTTCACAGAAAGCTGCATTCACAACAGCATTCAAGAGCAGCACGGCAGTTAATAGTGTTGCCCACATTAGACACTCGGGATTCGACTGATACAGGGTCTACACCAAGGATTTATTTGTCGAAGTGAAAGTCCCATCTGGGCTTTTGGGAGTTTCCGAAAACTAGGGGTACCTTATTTTGGGGTCCTTATAATAAGGATCCTACTATCTAGGGTACTATATTAGGGTCCCCTATTTTCGGAAACCCCCATATCTGGATGCAGCTTGCCTGCTGCAGTGGCAGGTGATACCTTGTCTACAAGCACCAGTAGTCGTCAACTGGATGCTTCTCACAGATTTAAGGACAGGACCCCTGACAATCACCTTCGAACCACGCGTGCCGTGATGCGGTAATCTAGCAACTTGTCCTGCAACCTGGAATTTCAATATCAGACTACCTGCGCGCATCCCCTCTGTGAGGAAGAAAAGACTTTGTTACAAACCTCTTCCCACGGTCAGCAGTTTCAACCTGCCCCCTTTCTCGCGGCTGCGCACGAACATCTGGTCGTGCGCCGGGCTGGATGCTCAAGCCTTGAGTCTGCAGGGTGCAGCCGATGTCGGGGTTCGTCAACTGCTTTTGGCCTCGCCTGTATCAACGAGCTCCTTGCCCTGCCGACAAAGGTCTTTCCTGAGATTTAAAACTTTCGAGCTCTCGGGCTGCAAAGGCATTCAAGAGGGCTGCTTCGTGGTTTGATCACTTGGGAGATTTGAGAAGGGCTCTCCAAACTCTCTAAACGAAAATGCGAGAATCCGAACAAGCCCTGGCTTGCCTTCAGCCCTAGACCTCTCCCTTTCCAAGCCCTAAACGTCCCTAAACCCTAAACCCGAACCGAACCCCTGAATTACCCCGAAACCGTCATCCGAGCTTCATGCCCTTGCCGGCCATGCCCACCAGTCCGCTGACACCGAAACCCTCGGAGGCAGGTGCGCCTGAGCAGGTTAGGGCTTCGGGTTTTGGGATTTGGGGGTTTAGGGCTTAGGGTTTAGGGGTTTAGGGCTTTGGGCTTCGGGTTTAGGGTTTGGGGGTTTAGGGCTTTGGGTTTAGGGTTTAGGGTTCAGGGTGCAAGCTCCTAGAAATTACCTTTCGCTCCGTGCCGAAACAAAAGACCAAGATGAAGAGTAGCATTTATGACAATGTCACCCACGGTCTTTCTGCATGCACAGCCAATTTAAAAAAGTAAATAAGTTATATTGAACAAGACAACCAAAATACAAAAAATGATCGATAAACAAACACAGTATTGTGTATACATATACATATACATATGCATAGACATATCCATATATATATATATATATATATATATATAGAGATATAGGTATGTAGGTATGTAGGTATGTAGGTATGTAGGTATGTCGGTATGTATGTATGTATGTATGTATGTGTATATATACATGTATGTATTGTATGTATGCTTGTACAATCGCAGTGCATTCCAGGTACTTTTGGTTGCGCCGGCACTCCAGGCGCCTGCTGACGGGAGGCTTGGCATTCGGTTACCCAGCGACTGGGCTGGTGGCGCCTCTGGCATGCCGGTGTCTCTGAGGGGCATGCCGGGCGAGGGTTGCGCTGCAGATGGGTTCCCCGGTGCGGGGATGTCAGCTGGCTGCAAGATTCCCGGAGGCATGTCAGGCTGGGGTCTTGCGAGCTGCCCGTAGCCGTTGCCTGGCATCTGCGGATGTGACATCTGGCCCTGCCACGCTGACTGCAGGGGTATATGGCCTTGACCTGGCACCGGTGCCTGAAAAGGCATCTGCGTCTGGCTGTAACCTGGCACCTGCATCTGGCCATAAGCCTGCGTGTTCGCCTGCATAGGCGCCGGTCCTGGCGGCATCTGTTCCTCAGGCATCGGCTGCGAAAGGGGTCATTCACGAAAAACAAGTCGGCTTCCAACAGACCTACCTACCCTTTACGTACACCTTCATTGCCCAAGCGAAGGAGATACTCAGAGAGCCCAATACCCCTTAAGTAACGAATATACCTTAAATCACAAGGGAATTGATCATATGATTTAAGCCATATTCCTTAATTACGGGGTATTGGGCTCTCTGGGTACTAAGCTTCTAGGCCAAGAAGCGTGCATGCCTTTCCCCTTTCCTTTGCCCGGCCCTTGGCCTGGAACTCGAGCGGCAACGATCCACGCAAACTCGTGGGCTCCCTTTCGAGTTCACGGCTGGTATCTTCAAAATAGGTTATGTCTTCAGGGCAACCGTCGAATACGCTGTAAACGTCCCACGCAAGGTCCAACATGCCTTGGACTCGTTGATCAGACTTGTCCCCGCCGTCCTTCTCTGTCGGGCGCTCTTAATCAACACTGGTGTCCTGGGGTGTATAGGTTTAGGCAACAAGAGCTTCCGAATGAGGGCGACACCTGCACCCTCTCACGCTCGACCTCCAAAACCTAACCCAAAACCTCTAAAACCACTAAACCCTCAATCCCCAACACCCCCCAAAACATGACGGCCGGGTAGAACCCTTTTGAAGCCCCAAAAAGCCGTCCATTGTCCGCACCGCCACGAGGAGCTCCATCCCAGGCCGGGCATCTGCCGGCAGCCGAGCTCCAAAAATCCGCTTGTCGGGCATCCGGAAGGCCTGGAGGAATCTGAGAGCTGCAACGCTTGGGGTTTGGGGCTTTCCGGTGAAGGGGATGTTAGTCTCGGGGTTTAGGAAATTAGAGCTCCGGATTTAGACTCAGCTGCGGGGCAGTGGGTCGTATTTGTCGGGTTTCGGGTGCAGCATTCTTCACATGTCCTTGTAGCATCGCATAGTGGGGTAGCGATGCAACAAAAAAACTCCAGAAGTTGTGGCCTCGTAGCACTATTGAGTTGCTAGGAATCTCGTTGCTAGTGCGAGGGCTGAGCTTGTTAAACCTACTGGTACCCCTATGCTCCTTTCAGTTTTTGTCTCACTCAGTCATGTGGCACCGACACGAACTGTCATCGACAGAGTGTTCAAACCCTTGTCCCCGCTTCTCCGACAAAAAATGAGATAGCCCTAAACCCTAGACCCTCAAGCTCCTGGTTTAGCTCCTGAGACCATCGTGGTGGCCTTCCATCCCCGCTGCACATCCTTGGGCAGGAGGATGATCTTCTTGGGGATCTCCTTTCGTCATCTTCGGATTCTGCCCCATATGTAAGGACCCCAAACCCTAAGCCCTAAACCCCAAACCCAACCCCGAATCCTGACAACCCGAAGAGCCCGACAGGTCTCCTCGCCCCTCTTCACCGGGGGATTCTGCAGGAGCGCCCCACAGTTGCTGCAAGAACGGAAGAGGAGGCCCGTGTCGTGGTTGGGATGGTTGCACGCCTGACACACTACCTCGGGTCATCCGTCGTTAGCTTGAAGTGTGCAGAGTTTCTGCGAACTTTCTTCCGTGTGGTCGTATTGCAAGGAAAACAGCAGGCTAGTGGCCGCAAGTAGTAGGGCAAGAAATGAACTCAGTACAGACAACAGACGCCGTCGCACAAAGACAGGACTTGGCGCGAGGCTCCTCCAAACCCTCAGACCCCAAACCAGTACACCCCAACAGGAGCCAGGGTGCTGTGCTAGGCCCTTTCAAAGGCCCTGGCGACGAGGAGGGCAACGAGTCCTCCACCATGGCAGTAGCCTGCAGCTTCGGCTCTGGGTTTTGGGGTATGGGCTTTAGGGTCTGAGATTTGCGGTACTCGGAGCTACGACTGTTTTGGGGTTTAGGATTCTGCGGTTAAGAAGAGGGGTCTAGGAATTGCGGTTTACGGCAAAAGGCCTCAAGTCTTGCGGCTGCAGGAATTGCTATTATCCACGGTGAAGCGCATGGTTGAAAACCCATATCACATGACAAAGTCCAAAAAATCCATCCACGTCTGGTTTCAGGCTTCAGGTGTACCTCCCGCTATGAGCTTGCACCAACTACCACTCTGCCGTCCGTTGCAATCTTGGTCTTGCGAACCTCTTGAAAGGGACCCTAATTTCTGAAAAACCGCGTCTTCCGGGAAACTCTACTTGAGTTTGAAGCTTAACGCCTGCTGGGCGGATTCTGCTCTTCGGAGCTGCAAACGTTATCGAGCTCTTACTCTGGAATCCATGTATTCATGAAGCAAAAGGCTTCCAGAATTCGAAGAAAATGAAACTCTAAACTTTAAACCCTAGGGCTACTGATTCTCTGAGAGCCTTGGAGGCGGCTGTCTTGGCCATGCCAGCCGCTGCATCAAAGAGCTTCCTTGTTTCCCGCCATGCGACTATTGCTATTACTATTACTATGACTATTACTATGACTACTACTACTACGACTATTACTATGGCTATTACTATGAAAATGACTATTACTATTGCCGTGACTGCTATGACTATTACTATGACTATTACTACGACTACTACTATTCTGGGGAAGGGTGTTGGGGTCTTTGACGGCTTTAAGGTGGAAGAGTTGGAAGTTTTGAAGGCTTTAGGGCTTGGTGGTCTTTACGATTTCAGGGCTTTGAACAGCGTCCGTGTTTGTTTTGGTTTGCGGGCGGGATGGATTTTTGTAGGGTGTGTCTTTTGAAGGGCCTCCGGTTCGGATTTGGGGGCTGGGGTTCAAGCGCTGTGTTGTTGAGATCTTGCCGAGACCCTGATGGAGCTTAGGGTTTAAGGATTACGTCTAGGGTTGA